AATAAAAAAGGAAAAAAAAAAAAAAAAAAGTTGCTTGATTTAAAGCAGAAAAATTAAATATACAGTGGGGTATATTGTTTGATTGATAGGTCATTTCACTTTACAGACTTTTTTTCTATATATAAATTCAAAACCCTTAAAAAGGTTATTAAACCAAAAATGGAATATATTGCATAATACCAATTATTAGATTAGTTTTCTTTTTTTAGGCTTTTTTCACCCTTTGATCTGGCCAGTGGAATCCCCTGGCAAGTGCAGGGGGCGCGCACCGCACCGGGAGACACCTACCGCACCAGGTGATACCAATCCCGCTCCACGAAAAGGGAAAGTTGTAAAGAAAGCCAACAATCCCCGCAGGATGGATGGGATCTGCGTATTGGGAATCATAATGCATCGGACTCCGATCCATTATGCTCAATCCGCAGATCCGATCCATCCTGCGGGGATCGTCAGCATGCAACCTATACGGGGTGACACCGGACCCGCTCCACGAAAAGGTAAGTTGTAAAGAAAGCCGACAATCCCTGCAGGATGGATGGGATCTGCGGATTGGGGAGCATAATGCATCGTCGCATGCAACCTATACGGGGTGTCTACGGGTACCCACGAAAAGGTACTCCGATTTATTATGCTCAATCCGCAGATCCGAACCATCCTGCGGGGATCATCAGCATGCAACCTATACGGGGTGACACCGGACCCGCTCCACGAAAAGGTAAGTTGTAAAGCAAGTCGACAATCCCCGCAGGATGGATCAGATTTGTGGACTGGGGAGCATAATGGACTCCGATCCATTATGCTCAATCCGCAGATCCGATCCATTCTGCGGGGATCGTCGGAGGGGGTGTCACCAAGTGTTACCGCACCGGGTGACACCAACCCTAGGGATGCCCCTGGATCTGGCCATTAACACAGATGCACTGGCAGATTTGAATACACTAAAAAACTGAAGCCAAAGTCTAGACAAACAAAGCTGATCATTGTAAGCACCCCTGTCAGTGTTAAATAGTTTGTCTCTTCCATGTGAACTGATATATTGTGCTGGAGAGCATGTGCTTTTGAAAAACAGACTTACCGGCCAGATCACCACATGAAAATAAAAGAATAAAGCTTAAAGTGTAAGTTCAGAATTCTGTAATGTGACTTTACACTGGACCCCCTCCACATCCCCTCTGGTCCCACAGTACTAGTGTCCCGCGATCCCCCACTGTCAGGCACCGGGACACAGCTTCACTGGTCTGGGGATTTGAAATCTCTGCAGCCTAATCTCCTATCTGTACCTCTCAGTGTGCATGCACATGAGGCATCTAATTGGTCAGCACCATCACATATATGGCGCCGACCAATCAGAATCTGTGTTTAGCCCATCCTGTCAAAGCTGGGAAGAGAGAAAGACAGGAGGATTTTAAATCCCCAGACCAGTGAAACGGTGTCCTGGTGCCTGACAGCAGAGGATCGCGGGACACTGGTACAGCGGGACGGTGGGGTCCAGTGTAAGGACACTTTACAGATTTCCTTTAAAGGCGAACTTACACTTTAAAAAAGAAAGCTAATGCAACCATCACATCCAAGAATTGGCAAGCACCAATATAATAAATGTTTGCTTTTGGGTTTAATACAGCTTTGAAGTGGGTCGGTGATTTGCCTGCACAAGGTAAAATAACAGGTTTAATGACAGAGTGCACTAGGAAGAGTTTAAAGCGGAACTCCAGGCAAAATAACTTTCATTTAACTATAGTCCTCAATAGCCACAAAGGATATAAATCCACTTTGTGTGCCCAAATGCCTTTGCAAATCCAGATATTACTTTGAACAGAAGAAATCACATCATCACTATGCTGTACATAGCCTGTGCAGAGAGCAGAGCTGTGGGAGGGGCCCAGCAGGCTCCACCCTCCACAGGCTGCCTGCAGAAAACTACAGGAGGGAGTGGAGACAAGACCAGTCACCCTGCACAAGGAGAGAGAGCAGCAGTGAGCGGTCTTTATTACAGAGGCAAAGTCTCACATTGGATTACTGCACAGATCTGGAACACCACACATGCCTCTTTTGTTTAGAAGACAGATTCTTATCTTGGAGATTAGCTTTAGGTAGAAAATCACTCCCCATTTTTTTTTTTAATTTTATGAATGTTGAAGGGTTAGAACTTTTCAGATGTTCTCTGCGCTCCCTACCCACTTGGGGCGATTACCCATGTCAATCTAGGTTGATTACAGGAAATTCTGCTTTTACATTTACAGGTTTATAAACTGATATTTTAAAGCCGATTCCAAAAATTCAAGATATTTGGTGCCCCCCTTCTGTCCAGTCCTCCAACCTTTTGTCAGTGTCCAATTTTTTTTTGTCCTTTTCGTACTGGAAATTGTCTTTAGAAGGTGTGGTCACATGACCATCCCAGATACATTCAGATCCATAGATTGATCGGGCCGGGGCGGACTGACTACTCATGGGGCCCCCGGGCAATAAGGGATCATGGGGCCCCTGTGTCCTTGCCCAAACTCAGAAAAGCCTATGAAAAAGGTACCAGGGGTATCTCATGGGGCCCCCTACTGACTCCAGGCCCTCGGACAGTGCCAGAGTTTCCAAATGGTCAGTCCGCCCCTGGATCGGGCCATGGGGATTTAATGGTGGCTTGTACTAATCACACTCCAGTGACATCCACACATGGATTGAAATTTGTTTGGTTCAGCAGGAACAGGACAAATTTTGACCTGTGTATGGGCTAGCTGGTTGTACATAAGTTGATCTATCGATCGACTTGTGTACAACCAGCCTGTCCATTTTTTCCCCAAACAATCAAGCTGTAGCCACACCTGCACATTTCCTAAACGCACGACAAAACACACAAAAATGTACATTTTTCAAGCATTTTGGAAACACACAGCAAACGCACCGCAATCAGGGGTCTCGCTTGCGGTGCCATGAATTGTTAATGTCACCCTACGCGCAGGTAACAGTTGTGTGTTTTGCTGCATGTTAGTTGTGCTAGAATTGCATCAAAACGCCCACTGAAAAAATGCCTGACACTCCACAACTGAGAAAGGTTCTGGAACTACTTTGCGGCATTTTGTCATGTGTAGGGCAGCCCATTAAAGTGAATGGGCAGCCGTAAGTACAATTAAGGCATGGAAAACGCAAAAAAAAAAAAAAAAACCCCGAAAAAAAAAACACTCGCAATCCTCAGATGTGAATGGGGCCTCAGTGCCACTGGCTATAGCTGTCAACACTGATTATTATTATTATTATTATAATACAGGATTTCTATAGCGTTGATCCTCTGGATCAACTGTGGGTATAGGATAACTTTTTTTTTTTTATGGTTGAACTGGATGGACTTTTGTCTTTTTTCAGCCAGACTAACTATGTAACAGTTTGCTTGGTGCTTTATAATATAGAGGGAGACAATACAGCAACAATACAGTTCAATTCAAGAGGGTTAGGAGGGCCCTGCTCCTTGGAGCTTACAATCTAAGAGGGAGGGGCTGGTGGTACAAAAGGTAATAACTGTGGGGGATGGACTGGTAGGAGGAATAAAAGATTCCGTTATCATTTTAAGGCAGCATAGGCTTCTCTGAAGAGATAGGTTTTAAGAGATCGCCTAAAAGTGGGAAGAGTAGGCCATAGTCGGATAGATTGGGGTTGAGAGTTCCAGAGTTTGGGGGAGACTCTGGAGAAGTCCTGGAGACAAGCATGGGAGGAGGAGACAAGGGAGCTAGAGAGCAGGAGGTTGTGGGAGGAGCAGATAGGATGGTTTGAGTGATATTTGGAGACAAGATTGGTGATGTAATTTGGGGCAGAGTTATAAATGGCTTTATATGTTATTGTTAATGTTTTGATTTTTATTTGTTGGGCAATGGGAAGCCAGTGTAGGGATTGGCAGAGAGGGATGGAGGACACTGAGTGGAGGCCAGTGGAGGGATTGGCAGAGAGGGATGGAGGACACTGGGAATTGGCAGAGAGGGATGGCAGATATGGAATGGTTGGTAAGGTGGATGAGTCTGGCAGCACATTCATCATCGACTGAAGAAGGGATAGCCTGCGACGAGGTCGGCCAATGAGGAGGGAGTTACAATATTCAAGGCGAGAGATAACCAGGGAGTGAAGAAGTTGCTTCGTAGTTTTGGTATCCAAGAACTGGCGTATCTTGGAGATGTTGCGTAGGAGAAGTCTACAAGATTTGGACAGCGATTGGATTCGGACACTGATCATTGTACTCTTCCGGTGGGGAAAGCTCCCTGCCAGCAGAACACAATAGCACAGTGGGAATGATTGCCTGCTCCGCATAAAATGTGTGGATGAGAGAATTGGTTCATTCAATTGGTTCGACCACTGGTCTAACAAAAAAAAATGAATCATGTATTGCCAGTGTTCAAGACTGTATGCCCCGAGAGGCAGTGGGTGGGGTTCCTGGCTGGGGGCCTCAGGCAATAGCACCGCTATGAATAAACTATAGGGGGCAGATACAAGCCTGGTCACCCTGCACAAGAAGAGAGCAGCACTGACAGGTCTTTATTACAAGACTCCTGCACACAGCAAAGTGCAGTAATTACCTTGTGCTGGATAACCTCAAATCTAGAAGAAACACCAAAAAAGAAAGCAGCATTCAAGAATGAATACACTGTACATTTGTCTTGTATTTGATACTCTGCTTACAGGGCATGCTGGGCTTTCCATCAGGAAAGCCCAGCACTATCTCTTCATTGTTGACTCCTGGAGCAGTCTAAAAATCACGACTAGTACAGGGAGGGGGGTGTATTCTTCCTCTGACTCATTCAGCTGTCTTGTAGCAGATTATAAGGACATTTAGGACTATTTATAACACAACCAATGAAGGCCTTTTATAGTAAGTCAGCTTGCTAATTAGATGGTTCTTATCTTTCACCTACAATGGCAAATATGAAAAACTCACAGCTGAATAAAAAAAAAAAAATCGACTTTAAATGGACTAAACCATTAAAACACTTACAATATGTAAAACAAGTCTACAGTGATTGTACAAACTTACCCCGAGTCTTCATCTGGGTTCTAGAGAGAAGAAAAAGAAAAATTCACATTAGAAAGCAAATCACTATTTTTTCTTTTTCTTTTAGAGACAGCATCCTGATCAATCATTGGTAACATTAGATGTTATCAGTCAAATCAATTTACAATAATTCTAACTGAAAGCCCCAGGGTTCCCGTGCAAATTTTAATGTTGGCCCTTGTAGGTCCCATACAAAAACCTTTGATGATCCAATTAAAGTAAGGCCCCACCACCATTCTTCCACCCCCCCCCTTCCTTTTAGAGTACTGCCTATAATATGATTGATTCCATTGTGTGGGGGTGACAGATGCACTTTTAAGAAAGCAGAACATGGAAATAAACACTGAAAGTAAAAAAAAACAAGGTATATGCCCACAGCTTAAAGTGACACTAAACCTATCCTTTTTCTCCAAAAATAATTCATAAATATTCACTGCCTAATGGCCCTGTAATCTATGTTTTAGGAAATGTTTTTACCATGTGTTTTTCTGCCTCCTTGTAATATTGTTGAGCCCCCAAACTTTTCCTTTTTCCCCTCACTTCCATTTGTTTGGAACAGATAGTGCGCATTAGTTGCAGTCATGTGCACTGCTCTATGTACACTACAGATCCCACAGTCCATAGTCCATCCTGGTAGCAAGCAAGAGTGTGGCTACATTCCTGCATACAGTGGGACCATGTTAAAAGATGTTAATACTTGTTCTAGTAGCCACTTTGTCCTATTTTAGCAGTTTGATTTTTCAATACTTTTATTTAATTCTTTTTTTTGATGCAATATATGTTTGCATTATATATCTACTTTATTTGATCTTTTACTATATATATCATTTGTATCTTAACATTTGTAACTCATATGAGACAACAGAAGGTCATGTGACAAGTTTGTTGTTATTATGTGATGTTCTAGAATCTGTGGTATGTATTCATGTACAAAGCCGAGCATCATTTTTCATTAGTATGACCATGTTTATTGTTTATTCTTGTAGCCCTGATGAAGCAGCTGTTGCCCCTGAAGCACGTTGGCTGTTTTTAATGTGACTTATTTTTTACCAACAATTAAAACGTTAATCTTTTTTCTATTTATTTTAAAAATTTCATGTGGTTTTTGATCTGGCACTCCTTTTTCGTATTTATATGGTCTGATACAAGACTAATCCTCCTATTTAAAGTGGTTGGAAACCTCTGGCATGAAATATGAGCAAAGCATATCCCTCTGTAGCATAGGCGTGCGCACAGGGTGTGCGGGGTGTGCCTGGGCACACCGTAATCACCCGGTGTGCATTAGCATTTATTACTCTGTGTGCCAGTGGGGGATGGGAAAGATCTCCCTCTGTCCGGATCTACTATAAGAGAAGTGCTTCTGCACTTCTCTATCACTGTGCTGGCAGGAAGATCAATGTGTTTTGAGATGTGGGGTGCACACCCTAATGCAATAGACGCGCGCACCTATGCTCTATAGTGTGTACTTGTCTCAATTAAAAGCACGAAGTGTGCTGTGTGCTGCTTTGCTCCTAAGCTTTCAGCATGAATCACTTCTGACAAGTTTTCCTGACACCAAGAAAAAAAAAAGGTAACAGGGCAGGACCTCCAGCACACAACCTGTTATTGACAGCCTCAGACACACAGTTACTGTGTGCTGTGTGGAGGGGGTGTGACCCCTTCCCTCCAATCATCTCTCAGAGCTCTCCTCACTGAGCTCTGTAGTGTGTAATTTCAGTTCTCCACTCAGTTTTCTGAAAGCTCAGACAAGCTTTATAAATTTTGCACTTTGAACGGCTGAAGAGAAGACTTCAGATAAACAGGTACAACCTACGTAGGAAGATTTGTTTCATTCCTGTATATCACCTGAGGCCAGTCACTTCACTGGGTATATGTAAGGGCTTACAAGCACTTTAAGGGATATGTGATGGAATGAGACATGGGAATACCTTCTATTTTGAGTAGGCTTTACTGTGCTATGCACAGATTTGGTTGGAAGACTTTCTGATTCCTTTAGTCCCTTATCATATCCTGCATGGTTATGCGTCTCGTTTTTGTTATTCTGTAACCTGCGCTCAACTGTTTTCGGCATGAAAATCCCACAACCAGCACTTTGTGTGTTTTTTTATTAAAGGACATTGAGATAATGGATTGAGCTCTGTTTAAGTAAGCAAAGTCCTTCTATATCATGATTCAGACAATCAGTCTATGGTCTTGTGTAGGCCATCACCAGCCCACAAGAAGACAACAGAGACATGGCAGTACATCACGGAGAGTCCCAAGAGAGGCACTCACACAGATTACCTCTGGTTTCTGCATTACCAGTTGATTAAAGCTGTTCAGCTGCCGTGTGATCTCCGCCATTTCCGTCATTAGCTTGCCCATGTGGACGTTGAGCTCGGCGAGGACTTCAGTCACATGGGCTGAGGCCACAGCCTCCTGGAGGTCCACAAAGTGCAGGGCCTTCTTCTCCTCCTCGTGTACCAGCTGCTTCATGTGGTCAAACTCCTTCTGGATGAAGCTCTTTAGGTCACTGCGTGTTATCTGGAAGATAAGAGAATCATGTCAGCTGTAACACACTGGATCATTATATAGGATTTATATGGAGTCAACAGTTCGCACAGCTCTCTATAGTACAGTTACAATACAATTGGGGGTTGTGATCATGGGAGCTTACAATCTAAGATGGTAAAGAACATGAGTCTGGGATGTCATCTCTGCAAACACAGGCAGCAATTGGACTGTTCTGCATACCAAGCCTAAGTCAAGAGTCAAATAAAGCCTTTCTGGGGAGAAACATGGAGGTTTGCAGTACTGAATGCTCCATCTAAAAAGTACAGTTTTCTGGCTGTCGGCCTTTTGCTTCAATATTTGGAGTCACAGACCAGGAAGGAGGCAGATGGATCGTTTACTATTAGTTTGAATACTTTGGCTTTTCCTAGCTGCATACTTGTTTAATACTTACACTGCCCAGAGCAGGGCGCTCTGTTTCCTCTTGTACCAAATTGTATTGTAGCTGTAATGCCTACCTTCATTTTGTAAAGCGCTGAGCAAACTGTTGGCACTATATATGGGGTGGAAAAAAAGCGAGAGAGAGAGAAAGAGCGAGAGAGAAGAGAAAGAGCGAGAGAGAGAGAAGAGCGAGAGAGAGAGCGAGAGAGAGAAAGAGCGAGAGAGAGAAAGAGCGAGAGCGCGTGCACGCAAAAGAGCGAAGAGAGCGTGCAAGAGAGCGAAAGAGCGAGAGAGAGAGAGAGAGAGAGAGCGGAGAGAGGGAGAGAGAGAGAGGGAGAGAGAGAGAGAGAGAGGAAGAGAGCGAGAAAGAGAGAGAGAGGGGAGAGAGCGAGTAAGAGAGCGGTAGAGAGAGCGAGGGGGCGCGAGAGGGAGAGAGAGAGCAAGCGAGACGAGAGAGAGAGAGCGGCCAAAAGAGGGAGAGCGAGCAAGAGAGAACGAGAGAGAGGCCAAAAGAGGAGAGAGAGAGAGAGAGAGAGCGAGAGAGCGCGGAGGGGCAAAAGAGAGAGAAAATGAAATAAGGAATGAAAGCAGAATGATCATAAGCAAGCACAGGGGAGGAAAGAAACGCGTATTAAAAAGCTCATTGTATAGATAGATCTGACATTGCTTTCCAGAAAACATTGTGTTTTATTGAAACTGCTAATAAATATATCTAAGCCGATTAGTTGTTTATACTTCAATTAGTGAGAGTAGGTGCGCAAATTGGGCAGGCTGGTTGGGGCCCCATCGCATTACTTTGCCCAGAGGCCCATGATGCCATTAAGACCACCCCTTTCAGGTGCCATGTTAAGGAGATGATCAATGATAGTCACTTTACCGGTCAGAAGTCATAATGTTATGGCTGATCATGCATATTTAAAGGTACAGAGTCATTTGAAGCCGTGTGCAGGTAGGCTGTGTCTCCTGTATGCATTTCAAAGCCTAATGTTCAGCTCTGAACAGAATGTTCTTCAGGAAGCCATTGTGGGGCTCACACGAGTCCAAGACTCGGCTTACGGTCCCTGAAGACCTCCATCCCTCTCCATATGAAAGGCTCCTGCAACCTTGAACATCAAAACCGCAGAAAAGAAGAATAGTCCCCATCACCATATTTATAAGGACGGAAAGTGATGGAGGAGGTCAGGAAGGTTTCCACACTCAGGAAAGTATTTATTGTAGTTATCATGCTTGGTATTCCGAGAATTCCATGAAATGCGAGGACGGGTGTTCCTTCATTTATAAGAGCTGCATGCAGATCATCCCCCACATACTGACCCCTCTGTACACATTCCACTTCACATCCCCTAGGATACAGTTTTTTGTATGGTCTTCTTCATATCTCAATACTCTCTGCATGCTGAGAACAGAATCATTTAACACATTAAAAGGCCAAAACTAAAGATTTTGTTTTGGACAACGTGGGGAAGAAGTATGTTTTTATATGGTGTCTGTGTCCCCGTTGAAGAGATTTAACTTCACTTCCTGCCTTTGCGACACCAGGACACCAAGAAATGGTTAAAAATGGTGTCAGAAGGACAAAGGCAGCAATAAAGACCCAATAGAGTTTCTTACTGGAATTTTCCACTTGGGGTCCCCTTCGCACACATTGTTGCAATGCATCACTATATGCACATTAAAATGCAGTATTTCATGTATTAAAGTATGCACATAAATGGAAGAAAAACCAGACCTGCACCATGTGTTTTTCATCAGTAGGACACTGAAGGTTTCCTAAAACTGAACTTTAGTCTGTTTCTATTTTGTCTTCCCTGGTTCCTCCTCTATCCCCTTATCAACATGCAAACAAACATTTCAAAGAAAATCTTTCCATTTTTGCTATATACACACACACACCTTTCTTTAGACCCACTGACATAATCACTGGGTCTCTGTGCTCCTCTATGCAATGCAGGCAGATCATGGCTCATGGGAGGGGCCAGCAGGGTGAAGTAGATAGATAAAAACATCCTCGCACCATGCTTCAGTTCTCCACTCAGGAGCCCTCAATCCCTAATGAGGCAGAATGTATGGATCTTGTGTGCAAATTTTAAAATGTATTTATGGGTGGGTGCAGGGCCAGTGCTTCCACTAAGCAAACTGGGCAGCCACCATCAAGGGGCACCTGTGCACAGCAGAGGCTAACACCCTCTCTGTGTGGGACACCGCCACATCATGAATGATCCTTCAGCTGAGAGGAGGGGCGGCAGGGGGGGGGGGGAAGAAAGGACAGAGGAAGATGACGAGTGTCTGGGGGCCAGTGTAGCAGCTGAGCCAGTGTTCCTCTCAGACGCAGTCCCTTACTGCAAGCCGGCTGGCAGCTGCTGATCACTGTGGAGTTCCAGCCCTTCTCTTCCCAAATTTCAGTGGAGACGGAGCAGAGGAAGGTCAAGTCTGACTCTGATGTCTCGTATCTGTGTGAGTGTGACCTGGCCGGCCATCACATGTGCAATGTGTCAGTGAGTGATGACATCATCACGATCCCACAGCCTGCTCTTCTAGTGCCTGCTGATCTGTGTCAGTGTTGGTGGTGGTGGTGTGCTGTGTCGGATCTGTCACTGTGTGGGAGAGCTCAGTTCAGCTGCCTGATATCTCCCCCCATTGCCTGGGGAATTCCAGCCTGTCAGTGTGGATCCATCATCCTCCACTCACTGCAACTGTCACCCTGCCCCTGCCAGCCACAGATACAGTCCGTCCGGGACACTGATTTGGTCTTTAATATTAGTGCTGGTGGCATCTTATGACACTTACTGTATTTTTGCAAATCAAAAAATTTAGTAGTTTCATGTTTGTTGGATTAATATTTTCTACTGTTTTGTAAAATTGTTTTGGGGGAAGGGGGGGGGGGGGGGGGTGAAAGTAGCTGGTCTTGCCTAGGGCGAAGAATAGTCTAGCACCGACCCTGTGTGGGTGTCAGTCTGGAGGTAGGCTGCATTTGGATGTGAACCGTCCTTGGTAACTCCCACATGTGTTGCTGAGCCTCCACGAAAGAATTGAAATCCAATGAAGGAAAGGGGTGGGCCAGAGCAAAGCTGGGGAGGAAACGGCTAGTTCATTGGTCTCCAAACTGTGCCCTTTGATTCCCTTTATCCAGCTCTTGGGGTACTATTCCTACCACTGATATGAAGTACTAATCCGTCCAATGATACTAAAAGTGCGGCAGTTAGTATTCCTCCCAATGACGGGGCACAATTCCTCCCAATGACAGGGCACTATTCCTCCCAAAGACACCAATGACAGGGTACTGTATTCTATCCATCCAATGACGGGGCAATGACCAATGACAGGGCAATGTTCCCTCCCAAAAGACACCAATGACAGCGTACTGTTCTATCCATTGACGCCAATGACAGGGCAATGTTCCTCCCAATGACACACCAATGACGGGGCACATTTCCTCCCAATGACAGGGCACTATTCTTCCCAAAGACATCAATGACAGGGCACTGTTCTATCCATTGACGCCAATGACGGGGCAATGTTCCTCCCAATTACACCAATGAGGGGGCAATGTTCCTCCCTCCCAAATGGGGCACTGCTCCTCCTCCCAGTGACACCAATGAGGGGGCACTGCTCCTCCCAGTGAAACCAAATGATGGGGCACTGCTCCTCCCAATGACACAGAAGATGGGTCACTGTTCCTCCCAATGACACCAGTGATGGGGCACTGTTCCTTCCAATGACAGCAATGATAGGGGGTGTTATTCCCACCAATGATGGGGCACTATTTCCCCCAATGACACCAATGATTGGGTACTATTCCTACCAATGATGGGGCACAATTCCTCCAAATGACACCAATGATGGACACTATATCCCCCCCCCCCATGACACCAATAATTGGGCACTATTCATCCCAGTAATACCAATGATGGAGCACTATTCGTCCCAGTGACACAAATGATGGGGCACTATTCTACCCTGTGACACCAATGATGGGACTTTATTACTCCCAATGGAGAGTATTCCTCCCACTGGGGACCCCCCATTCTTCCCCCAATTGCTGAGGGTTAGTAAATTGGCTCTTTGTTTAGAAAATTTTGAAAAAAAAAAAACCAATATTTTTTACTTTCTGCTATAAAACATATCCAATAAAAAGTCTAGAAAATCTAATTTCTTCATACATTTAGGTCAATATGTATTCTGCTACATATAGTTGGTAAAACAAAATCCCAATGAGCGTATATTGATTGGTTTGGGCAAACGTTATGGCATCTACAAACTATGGGACATATGCTGAAATTGTAATTTATCTATTTACATTAGTAATGGCAGCGATCGGTGACTTATAACGGGACTGCGATATTGCGGCAGACAATCTGACACTTTGTGGGAACCAGTGACAATAAAACAGTGATCAGTGCTAAAAATATACACGGTCACGGTACTAATGACACTGGCTGGGAAGGGGTTAAATATCTATAAGCGATCAAAGGGTTAACTGTGTGCCTAGCTTCTGCTTATATATGTACTATATTGTGTTTTTACTAAGGGATGTGCTGGATTGTATTCTTTTCTTTGCAGGGAAATAAAATCCAGCACATTGCCACTGACAG